GGTTAGCCCATATTTACAGTATTGTGTTCAGTTTTGGTCTTCTTACCTTAGAAAGGACATTGAACTATTTGAAAGGGTTCAGATGAGAGCTACCAAGGATGATACCTAGTATGGAAAAGTCGTTATAGGAGGACTGGTTAAGAGGTTATACTTTTACTGTATAGGTCATTGGTTAGCCCATATTTACAGTATTGTGTTCAGTTTTGGTCTTCTTACCTTAGAAAGGACATTGAACTATTTGAAAGGGTTCAGATGAGAGCTACCAAGGATGATACCTAGTATGGAAAAGTCGTTATAGGAGGACTGGTTTTCTTAACCAGTCCTCCTATAACGACTTTTCCATACTAGGTATCATCCTTGGTAGCTCTCATCTGAACCCTTTCAAATAGTTCAATGTCCTTTCTAAGGTAAGAAGACCAAAACTGCAAATATGGGCTAACCAATGACCTATACAGTAAAAGTATAACCTCTTTTTTAGAAATCGTTTTCTATTGAGAAAAGAAGAGTTAGAGGGGATCAGATTGAGGTGTATAAGTTTGTTAAGGGAATTGACAGTGTTAATGCATTATCTTTTTTTTGTACTTAATGGTGGGACTAAGGGACACACTGTAAATTTTGGTAGGGGTAGGAGTCATCTTAAGAATGTAGTTTGCCTTTGGAGAGAGTTAGTTTTAGATGTGGTGGAAGCAGTTTGGTTTGGTTTGTTTTGAATTTCGCGAAAAGCTACACGAGGTATGCCTTTGCGTGCCGTCCCTAATTTAGCAGTAAAAAACTAGAGTGAAGGCAGCTAGTCATCACCACCCACCGTCAACTCTTGGGCTATTATTTTACCAACGAATAGTGTGATTGACCTCACATTATAGCACTCCACAGCTGAAAGGGCGAGCATATTTGGTGGGACAGGGATTCGAACTCGCGACCTGCAGATTGCAGTCGAACATCATAACTACCTGGCAATACCAGGCCTGGTTGAATCAGTAAATTTAAAGTAGTTTATGGGAAGGCTTGATAAATATCTAAATAATTTGTTATATAGTTATCTGCTGTGTCCACCATGAGGAATCGAACCTCGGATTTTAATATTGTAAATCCCTAAATTTATCGCCGACTCATTGAGAAAAGTGCTTTGATACTGCAACTTTCGTTCCTTACTGGGTGATTTGTCTTTGGGTCGTATTTATTGAAAACATTTTTTTCTCAAATGAGAACTATCTTAAAAAAAAGAAGCCAAAATTTAGTTTAAAATAATAAAAAGAACCCCGTGAATCGGGGGCGTTATGAACTGATGAGAGCTGCAAGCAATTGTTTAGTCTATCCATTGTGTCGCTACTGTATACACACGTTATTCACCAGTACAAGATAAATACAAAATTGGGAATTTAAAAACCTGCAAATAAGGATCGTAAAAAAAAGGAAACAAGGCTGGAGATACTGTAGACATTATTCATACAAACTATAAACCTTTATTTTGGCCCCATACTATAACCTAGAATTACATTTGATGTAGTCAAAAATAGGGATTTGTAGTTTGAGTAAATGATGTGTACAGCCTTTTGAAATAAAACATATACGTCTAAAACATCGCTTTAAATAAACTTACGTGTCTTTTAAAGTCATTATTCTAGGAATATGTGTAACAAAGTTTAATATTATGTGTATTGATTTTTTTTACTCCTTCACTTCATACGTAATATAGGGGTTGGCTCTCTAAAGACACCGATTGTATAGTGTACAAAGCATTTTTTGAGTATCTACATGTTACAGTCATCTAATGTTCATCTATTATTGGCTGGAAATTCCTGTTTCACTCTGTACTTACGTTTTTTAAAGGAACACAAGATATAGATATGTAAGAAAGCTAACTTCAAGGGGTAATGTTACACTACTTACACTAGAATTATGATGTTTTTTTAGTTTATGTAAAATATAGAAGAAACAAATAGACTTTTCAATATCCCTACAACCTTCACAGTAACTTATGTAGTATTCTACAAAAGGCTTGGGTGCAATATACCAAGCCGTTTTAGTTGTAAGCTAGCAAGAGAATAATAATATGAAGAAGAATTAAAAACGGGCCGTTTTGAGCGGAATTTCTTTTCCTTGTAAGCCTAACATGCGTGATTTTTGTGCATTTTTAAATGTGTACAGCCTTATCAGCCAATAGTAAAGGTTTAAAGTGTTGTTTGAACTGAATCTTTACTGTTTAAAGTGCTTTTTGCCCGAACGTTCGATTAGGGTTTTGTGCAATTCCTTGCGATCCCTATTATGAACCACTATCGTGACTCATGATACAGTAATTGTTTCGTACAGCTTCACTTAACTTCACTTTCATTACTAAATATCTCTCTCGTGAGTAATCTGGCCAAATAAAATATGCATTCTAATGCACATTCATGTATTTATTGATTCCTCATTGCTTTGAAAACCAAGACTTAGTAATGAAAATTCTCTGCTCACAATGAAATAAAAATGAATATTTTCCATATTTAGTTCACGTCCGTTGAAATGCATTTACTTAGAAACAAGATAGAGCTTTTTTTTAGGATTATCTAGTTATTTCTTGTTTAATAATTCCATTTTGTGTACACTAACAGGAAAAACGTTAAAACTGTGATAAAATCGCAGAGAATAGTTAATGACAGTCCTGTTTTTTCTATAAACAAAAGCTTCCAGTGACTCAGCAGTAAGGTGTGTAACGCTAAAAACCGAGAACAGATATCTCATTGTGTAAAGTTTGTCATGTAAACAAATATAACAAAAAAATATTTATATAAGCTGAGCATTAATGATTTATTAGCAAAGAAATATTTGTTTTCCTTCTACAGTTCAACACTTCAATGTTAGAGAAATGCATCGAATAGAAGCGTTATATTTAAAAGTTTCTTAGTGATAATGATTATTTACTAACAGGAAAATACTTCTTAGGTCCAGCCTAGTGTTAGGTGCACCGAATAACCTGATACTGAGAGACTGTATTTGCTTCAATAGTTTCTAAAGTTCAGCCTAGTGTTAGATGCTTCGAATAATTTTAACACTGAGAGACTGTATTTGCTTCAATAGTTTCTAAAGCCCAGCCTAGTGTTAGGTGCACCGAATAATTTTAACACTGAGAGACTGTATTTGCTTCAATAGTTTCTAAACCCCAGCCTAGTGTTAGGTGCACCGAATAATTTTAACACTGAGAGACTGTATTTGCTTCAATAGTTTCTAAAGCCCAGCCTAGTGCTAGGTGCTTCGAATAATTTTAACACTGAGAGACTGTATTTGCTTCAATAGTTTCTAAAGTTCAGCCTAGTGTTAGATGCTTCGAATAATTTTAACACTGAGAGACTGTATTTGCTTCAATAATTTCTAAAGTTCAGCCTAGTGTTAGGTGCATCGAATAATTTTAACACTGAGAGACTGTAGCTGCTTCAGTAAACGGTTTGTATGGTATGTTTATAACTGCTGTTTATCAGGAAATGTGTCAGATAAACAGCAACAAGGAGATATATTTGGCAGCTATAATATGAGGAGAGAGTAATAATGGAAATAAATGAAACCTGTGTTGTGTGTTGCTAGCTTTCCTACTTCATTCGGACGTTTACATACAGTTTTATTTGTTTGTTTGTAATTATGCACAAAGCTACACAATGGGCTATCTGTGCTCTGCCCACCACGGGTATCGAAACCCAGTTTATAGCGTTGTAAGTCCGCAGACACACCGCTGTGCCACTGGGGGCACATACAGTTATAATTATGATTTCTAAGTTCGTGAGAAACGCTTTCTTTGGAAAAATTGTAATTAATAACCCAAAGCCTGTCTGTCATAAACAGTTCCTACAGTTTGCAAATGTCCAATCAACTAAAATTGAAAATAATATGCAAAATGACGAAGCAGTATTATGGGTGAGATAATAATATTTTAAATGTGACAAGTAAACTATTTTTTCCTAAAAAGGAAGCCATTCTTTATGAAGATTTGTAATAACGTAACAAGAATAAGAATTATAAGCTTCACGCTTGTCATATTTAGATTATTTTTTATCTGCACTCTGTTTATCGCGGGGAATCGAACCCTGAATTTTAGCGTTGTAAACTAAACTGCTAGCCTATCGAGGTGCGTATATGTGGGGGAGTACTTAAGCTTTATTGGACTTAATCTAAACTTCTCATTAGAAATCTATAACACGAAAAACTTACCAAGGCACTGAGCTCCAACATCTCCAGAAATATTTTGTTTCTTCCAAGTTTGCAAGCTAGCGTTAACGGAGTAAGACCAGATTTGTTGAGGATATTATCTCTGGCTGGCTTAGTCGGATGTCTTAGGGCGTACCTGTACATATTCTGTAATATAAGTAAAATCAAATAAAACTATAGATATTATATTTTCTGACTGACTGCTACCATCGAGACCTAATGATCAGTAATAATAATATCAAGCATATATCTTGGCTAAAAATAAATAAATTTAGTATGAGATCAAGATTATGTAACAACCCTTTCCCACGAAAAGCATTCATATATTCAAATATTAAAGATGTATTCAGATAGGGCATTGGTGATTTCCAAGTCGGGGATATCCCTCGTACTTATAGCATTGGAAAACAAAGGAATGTGGAACAACTTGGAGCGCAGGACCATCCAGAAAGAGACCTGCAACAAGTCTTATTTCAGCCGTGCTAAGCAAAGCGCGGAGTTTTGAAACAAGTGAGACACAAAGGTCATTGTCAAAAGCTGTACACTTATTTCAGGCAACATTAAGCAACATAAGCTAAAAAGATCTCCATCTCGAAAAGTCACTTGTATACAATTTGCTTTTACAGCATATCAGCATAGCAGGTGAAGAATGATATGTGTATTTATGCTATTCTATATGAAGGTATACTGATCAAGTCGCCCGAAGCAGCATCTATGGATTTCTTCGCGATTGAACTGTTGAAGTGCCCTAACCACCTGGCCCCTCTGTAACAAACACACCGCCAACTAAGAGTAGTATTCCATTCAAGGTTTCTTTCCTTGTCAATAAGAATTAACTCAAAGGTTTAAAAAAAAACGTTAAGCAAAAATTTTCTTAGAAATCAGTTCGATGTTGATGCGCACAATGTGCAATTTCAATAATATATATGTATTTAATGTGCTGTATTAATTAGTTTCTTTCTTATCTGCTCCCCAGTGGCACAGCGGTTTATCTGTGGACTTACAACGCTAGAAACCGGGTTTCGATACCCATGGTGGGCAGAGCACAGATAATTCATTGCGTAGCTTTGTGCTTAATTACAAACAAACAAAGCTATGCCGTTTCATCTATGATAGTTGAATGTTTTCTTTATTGATATGGTGAAGAGAACTTTGATTTCATGACTTTTTTATATTAAGAAGTAAAGTTTCGCTGCCTCGTGTTTTAGAAGCTATTTACTATGTAACTATATATATTCTACACTAGTTCACATTCTGAAGAAAATTTATATCCAAACATATCACGAATAGATATGATTAATGTTGCAGAATTTATTCTTTAGACAAACTTTAACTATAGATATTACATTTTTATGTTTTCTCTAATATTTGAAAATCTCCCGTTTCTCAAGCTGAGAAATCTTGGCTGAATTTCTGTTTAAAAAGGTTAGAGTTGATTTGGAAAGTCTGAAGAAGCCCCCAACTGCTAATCTAGGAGTTGATTCTACTTTTTCACCTCTACAATCCTTCTACTTAATCTGAAGTGGAACTTAGAGGGAAGATGTTTCCTCCTCAGTTGGAGAGAAGGAATTACTAGTGATTGTAGAAATGTCACCACTGAATCTACCATTAATAATAGACACACATGCAGAAGAATAGTTCTTGGTAGAGTCATAGAGAAGGAATTACTAGTGATTGTAGAAATGTCACCACTGAATCTGCCATTAATAATAGACACGTGCAGAAGAATAGTTCTTGGTAGAGTCATAGAGAAGAAATTACTAGTGATTGTAGAAATTTCACCACTGAATCTGCCATTAATAATAGACACGTGCAGAAGAATAGTTCTTGGTAGAGTCATAGAGAAGAAATTACTAGTTATTGTAGAAATGTCACCACTGAATCTGCCATTAATAATAGACACGTGCAGAAGAATAGTTCTTGGTAGAGTCATAGAGAAGAAATTACTAGTGATTGTAGACATGTCACTACTGAATCTGCCATTAATAATAGACACGTGCAGAAGAATAGTCTTTGGTAGAGTCATATAGCTATGATGAGAAGTAATAGTAGACCCATCTGCTATCAAAACTATGCTAGCTAACATAATTCAGTTTACCTTGAACAACAAATCTGTTGGGCACGAGCCAGTGAGAATGCCAAAGTTCCCTCATGCCAGTGTGACAGAGAGGGTGTGAAGTAATAGTAGACCCATCTGCCATCAAAACTATGTTAGCTAACATAATTCAATTCACCATGAACAACAAATCTGTTGGACACGAGCCAGTGGGAATGCCAAAGTTCCCTCATGCCAGTGTTACAAATAGGGTGAAAAGTAATAATATACCCATCTGCCATCAAAACTATGTTAGCTAACATAATTCAATTCACCATGAACAACAAATCTGTTGGACACGAGCCAGTGGGAATGCTAAAGTTCCCTCATGCCAGTGTTCCAAAGAGGGCAGGCATATTCAGGGACAATGATTTGCTGGTGAAACTACTGTTAGTCCAAATAGTCCATTAGACTCTATCCTGGAACATGTTTCTGAAGGAAGATGATAGGTATAGAGATTGGAAAGTGAAAGTAAAGTGTCAATGGGGTCAAGCATCAAATCAACATGAATCTGTCGAGACCTTCTACAGATCAGATACCTTGTCCATACCGTGGATGTCTCTAAGAAAACGGCCACTGTTGCTCTGGAGAGACACATGCTTGGGTAAGTGGTACCTCTCGTTATATTTCTTTTTTCCTGCTTCATTTTTTATTTGCGTTTAAAATCTATAACATATTAGTGAAATTGCTAATTTTTGTTGAGGTAAAATATAATTTAAAGCTCACATGTTTGATACATAGACTGTTACAGTTATTCTTTTATGGAGTCCTATTGTAGCTACAAATATGGGGTTTTCTTTCTTTAAAAGTGCCCCCCCCCAGTGGCACAGCGGAATGTCTGCGGACTTATAACGCTAGAAACGGGGTTTCGATACTCGTGGTGGGCAGATCACAGATAGCCCATTGTGTAGCTTTGTGCTCAATAATAATAATAAACAACAACAACATTTTAACACTCAATTAATCAAGTTCTCTTATATTATCCGTTTAAGTAACATCCTTGCCGATTTGTGATCCACTGCGTTACATTATTTTCATGTTGCTGTGAAATCGGACTTTGTCTCATTACTAGCACAAACCTAACAGAGAATTTCACATAAAAAGATTGGTTTGTTTTGAATTTTGCGCAAAGCTACACGAGGGCTATCTTCGCTATCCGTCCCTAGAGGGAAGGCAGCTAGTCATCACCACCCACCGCCAACTCTTGGGCTACTCTTTTACCAACGACTAGTGGGATTGACCGTCTCATTATAACGCCCCCACGGCTGAAAGGGCGAGCACGTTTCGTGGGACGGGGATTCGAACCCACGACCCTCAGATCGCGAGTCAAGCCCCCTAACCACCTGGCCATGTTGGGCCACACATAAAAGATTCTTTACATTCTCGCTGTTTAGAGTGATACCTGATAAATTAGTTTATTTATCAAGTTGAAACACTACACACGATTCTACATTTGTAGTTGATGATTACTGATAGCTATTTATCTCTTCCAATTGCTACGATGTTCACAATTGAAGTATAAAGAGCTGTCATGATAGCAACTTCTCATTATACCTGCTATGTGATTAACTGCAAAGTGACACTGGTAGCAAAGGACGAGGTGTAACAATAGTACTTTTCAGCTTAATTACCTGTAGATAGGTCAGTTTTTGCTTACTATGATGTTACGTCATGAGGTTAATTTTAGACTTTTAGTCCAATTATAATAATTCCTCTAAATTTAAACTTAGAGACCTAAAAATTAGCAGATTGTCCTTCGTACTTAAAAATAAATAAATCATATCTATTTGCAAATAAATGACAGTATTTCGTTGTTTGTAAATCTATGTCTTCTCAAAGTATTTATCTCGAAATAAACTCATTTACTTGGTCTTCCTTAAACTTAGGATTATCACAGTTTATTGATGGCGAATCTAACAGTAACAAAATCCCACACTAAGTAATTTTTTTAGTTAACTAAAGAAATTATCCAGTTTTCAAAAGTAAAAAAAGACTTCTTCATTTCTTATAGTTCCTCATATGGCCTCAAAATGTAACAAACACTTTTAGGGTGTTGTGTTTTGTAACACAAACCAACACAGCCGACTATCTGCGCTCTCTCCACGAGGAATGGAACTCCGGATTTTAGCGTTGTAAGTAATATAATTTGCCGCTGACCCACCAGGAGCCAAAGAAGGGTTTTTTATGATAATGATTTTTAAGTAATATATGTAATTTCGCGAAATATTTAGTATAAAACCTTTTAGCTTCTTTTATTTACACATATAATAAGATATATATATTTATAACTTGAAATATATTACATGTTTTCGATTATAAGATGCTTTACAAGTTACTTTGAAATATATGCAATATTGCTATGAAGATTTAACACGTTACCACCCACGATTATTTTTTCAGAGACACATAAACTTTGAATATGCCCCTTTAAAAACTATTTTTTCATAAAATACATATATAGTCCATTGTCCACGCACATCCAACATACGAGCAATACCTCCTCCAAACTCGCTACACATACTACAGCCCCTTTCCAAACACAACATCTATATAATGTCCCATTTTAAATTCAACACATATATACAGTCCATCTTCAGCACATACAGCCCCCCAGTGGTACAGTGGCATGTCTGCGGACTTACAACGCTAGAAACCTGGTTGCGATACCCATGATGAGCAAAGCACAGATATCCCTTTGTGTAGCTTTGTGCTTTACTTCAAACAAACAAAACAATCAGCACATACATGGTCCATATTTAGCACATACAGTATATATATACAAACCCTGTTCAACACGCCACTTGTGTACAAGTTAATCTTTCACGCCACACCACTTGTGTACAAGTTAATCTTTCACGCCACACCACTTGTGTACAAGTTAATCTTTCACACCACAC